GATGATGATGATGATGATGATGATGATGATGATGATGATGATGATGATGATGATGATGATGTGAGATTGCAGATGGATGATGATAGTGACGGCGATGATGGTGGGATGATGAGACGATGGATGATGATGAGAGAAATGATGATGGCGACGGGACGGTGGGGTGTCCGCATACGAGCCTCCTGCATAAAGCTTCGTCGTCATCGTCGTCGTTGCCGCCGTCGTCGTCGTCGTCGTCGTCGTCGTCGTCGTCGTTGTCGGAGTCAGCGTGTTGCCGACGGAGTCGTTGACGTCGTCGTCCAAGTCGTCGTCATCGTCGGAAGCGTCGTTGTTGTCGTCGTCGTCGGAGTCGGAGTCGTCGTCAGCAAGCGTCGTCGTCGGATTCGGAGCAGTCGGAGTAGTAGTCGACGGAGTCGGAGTCATCGTCGTCGTCGCCGTCGCCATCGTCGTACGCGGTCGGAGTACTTAGTCGTCGTCGTCGGAGTCGGAGTCGGAGTCGCAATTGTCGTCGTCGGAGTCGTACGTAGTCGGAGTCGTCCAAGTCGTCATCGTCGTCCTCGTCGTCGTCGTCATCGTCGTCGTCAGTGTCGCCATTGTCGTCGCCGACGTCGGAGTCGTCGGAGTGGGAGTCGTCGCCGCATTAACCGTCGTCGTCGTCGTCGTCGTCGTCGTCGTCGTCGTCGTCGTCGTCGTCGTTCTCGTGGTCGACGTCGTCGTCGTCGGTGTCACCGGAGTCGACGTCGTCGTCGTCGGAGTCGTCGGAGTTGTCGTCGTCGTCGTCGGAGTCGGAGTCGTGGCGTCGTCGTCGCAGGAGTCCTGGGAGTCGTCGTTGTCGTCGGCGTCATCGTCGTTGCATGGGAGCATTATCGTCGAGAGACGTAGTCGTCGTAGTCATCGTCTCAAAGTCGCCGTTCGTCGTCTAGTCACGTCCCATCCGTCGTCGCACTGCCGTCGTGGTCGTAGTCGTCGTCGTCGTCGTCGTTCGTTGTCGTCGTGGTCGCAGGAGGCGTCGGGTCGCGGAGTCTTCTAGTCAGAGGTCGTCGCCGCAGTCGTCGTCGTCGTCGTCGTCGTCGTTCTCGTGGCCGACAGTCGTCGTCGTCGGTCACCGGAGGGTTCCGACGTGGTGTAGTCGGATGTGCGGAGTTGTCGTCGTCTTGTCGGAGTCGGAGTGTGGCGCTCGTCGTCGCAGGAGTCCTGGAGTCGGTCGTGTCGTCGGCTTCATCAATCGTTGTCATCGGAGGGCATTATCGTCGGAGACTTCGGTCGTCGTCGTCGTCGTCATCGTCGTCAAATCGCCGTCGTGTCCTAGTTCATCGGATTAGTCGTCGTCGCCGACGTCGTCGTCGTCGTCGTCGTCGTGGTCGCCGGAGGCGTCGGGGTCGTGGGAGTCGTCTAAGTCGGAGTCGTCGCCGCCGTCGTCGGATTCGTTGGAGTCGTCGGAGTCGTCGGAGTCGACGTTGTCGTCGCCGTCGCCATCGTCGCCCTCGTCGTCGTCGGAGTCGTCGGAGTCGTCGGAGTCGTCGTCGTCGTCGTCGTCGTCGTCGTCGTCGTCGTCGTCGTAAGCATCAGGGTCGCCGTCGTGAGAGTCGTCGTCGGCAATCGTCGTCGGAGTCGGAGTAGTTGGAGTAGTCGTCGTCGTTGCCGTCGGCGTCGGAGTTGTCGTCGTCGTCGTCGTCGGTGCTGCCGTCGTCGTAGTCGGGGTAATCGTCATAGTCGGAGTCGGAGTCGGAGTCGGAGTCGCCATTGTCGTCGTCGTCGCCGGCGTCGTTGGCATCGTCGGGGTCGTCGTACCCGCCGCCGCCGCCGCCGTCGTCGGCGTCGGAGTGGTTCGCGCCGTCTTCGTCGTCGGAGTCGTCGCCAGCGTCGTTTTCGTCGTTGTCGACATGGAGTCGTCTTCTCTTTTTTGTCTTCTTTTTTTTTTTTTTTTTTTTTTTCTTTTTTCTTTTTTTTTTTTTTTTTTTCTTTTTCGTTTTTTTAGTCGTCGTCGTCGTCGTCGTCGTCGTCGTTGTCGTTGTCGTCGTACGTAGTCGGAGTCGTCGGTGCCGTCGTCGGCGTTGTCGTCAGCGTCGCCGTCGTTGTCGTCGTCGTCGTCGTCGTCGTCGTCAGCGTTGCCGTCGAAGTCGGAGTCGGAGTCGTTGGAGTGGGCGTCGTCGCCGCCGTAGCCGTCGGAGTCGTGATCGTCGACGCCGTCGTCGTCGTCGTCGTCGTCGTCGTCGTCGTCGTCGTCGTTGTCGGGGTCATCATCGGAGTCGCCTGAGTCGTCGGAGTCATCGTCGTTGTCATCGTTATCGGAGTTGTCGTCGTCGTCGTCTTCGTCGGAGTCGGAGTCGTGGCTGTCGTCGTCGTCGTCGTTGTCGTCGTCGTCGTCGTCGTCGTCGTCGCCGTCGTCGTCGTCGGAGTCGTCGGCCGACGACAACTGGCATCACAGGCCCAAGCAGTGGTAGGGTCGAGCCTCAAACAGCCGGCACAACAGGTCCCAGCATCGGCAGGGTGCGCAGAGCGCCACTCCGAGGTCTTCGGCACACAACAGGTCTCAGCAGTGGCAGGGTCCGCAGAGCGTTCCCCCGTGGATTTCGGCACACCCACTGGCGCAAGCGGCGCATCTGGTGCAACTGGCGCTAAACTGGGACAACCAACTGGCGCAGCTTGCGCAGCTGGCCAAAATCCTCGTGAGGGGTGTGCCGACATGGTGGAGTGACCGCATGCGGGCCCTCCTACTGGACCCGGTTCCGGTTCCGGCTCCGGCTCTGGCTCCGGTTCCGGACCACCCCTCCCCCCTCAGGCAGCGCGCGCTGCTCTGGTTCCGGTTCCGGTTCCGGTTCCCGTTCCGGTTAGGGATCATCCCTTAACCCTATCCCTCTCCATGCGTCCGGTGCCGGTTCCGGTTCCGGTTCCGGTTCCGGACCACCCCTTCCCCCTCAGGCAGCGCGCGCTGCTCTGGTTCCGGTTCTGGTTCCGGTTCCGGCTCTGGTTCCGGTTCCGGTTCCGGTTAGGGATCATTTCTCATCCCGATCCTGCATGCGCCCGGTGCCGGTTCCAGTTCCGGTTCCAGACCACCCCCTCCCCTCAGACAGCGCGCGATGCTCTGGTTCCTGTTCCGGTTCCGGTTCCGGTTCCGGTTAGGGATCACCCCTCATCCCTATCCCTCTCCATGCGTCCCGTGCCGGTTCCGGTTCCGGTTCCGTTCAGGACCACCCTCCCCCCTCAGGCAGCGCGTGCTGCTCTGGTTCCGGTTCCGGTTCCGGTTCCGGTTCCGGTTAGGGATCATCCCTCATCCTTGTCCCTCGTGCGTCCGGTTCCCTTTCCGTTTCCGGTTCCGGTTCCAGATCACCCCTCTCCCCTCCAGCAGCGCGCGCGGCTTTGGTTCCGGTTCCAGTTCCGGTTCCGGTTCCCGTTCCGGTTCCAGTTAAGGGATCATCCTTCATCCCTATCATTTTCCATGCGTCCGGTTCCGGTTCCGGTTCCGGATCCCCTCCCCCCCTCCGGCAGCGCGCGCTGCTCCAGTTCGGGTTGCGGTTCTGGTTCCGGTTCCGGTTCTTGTCCTGGTTAGGGATCATCCCTCATGCGTATCCCTCTCCATGCGTCCGGTTGCGGTTCCAGTTTCGGATCACCCCGCGCTGCTCTGGTTCCGGTTCTGGTTTCAGTTGCGGTTCCAGTTCATGGGTCGTCCCTCATCCCTATCCCTCTCCATGCGTCCGGTTCCGGTTCCGGTTCCGGTTCCGGATCATCCCCTCATGCACCGCGCGCTGTTCTGGTTCCGGTTCCGGTTCCGGTTCCGGTTCCGGTTCCGGATCATCTATATCCCTCTCCACGCGTCCGGTTCCAGTTCCAGTTCCGGTTCCGGATCACCCCCCCCCCTGGGGTTGCCAGGATCTGGAATTCTGATCCAGATCTGTTCGGGGTGCCTGGATCTGATCCAACACGTTGTTTCTGATCCGATGGCGTCGAACAACCTGATTTTGATCCGACCTGCGTTTTCTGATCCGAGCTAGTTTTTCTGATCCAAAAATGGGTTGGTGCTGCTAACATATTCGCTGGTCTGTATATCTTATGCATGCAACTGTATGCACAAACATGTTGATGATATGCGAATTCCATATATATAAACATATATATACATATGTATGTGTCGTCGTACACATGTATGTATGTATATACACACATATATATATAGTCAATTACACATACACACATATATACATATACACCATTTACATATACACATATATATATAAATATATATATGGTGTAACTATAATACATTCATGCATACATGATGTTATGTACGCACGTGCACACATAATGAGATCATACGCCGATTGCCTTCATGGGCAAGCGATTTCCGCGCGATGATGCGGGCGCACGCGCCGTTTTGCCTTTTTAGGCTGGCGGTTTCAGTGGCGCGACCCAAACTTACACGCGCGCTGCCCCATGGGCAAGGCGGAACGCTCACACGCGAGTTGCCCCATGGGCAAGGAGGAACCCTTACACGCGCGTTGCCCCATGGGCAGGGAAGAACGCTTACACGCCCCGTGCCCCGTGGGCAGGCGAGAGCTGTGACGTGATCCACATGCCTTTTGCCGCATCGGCAAGCTCGGCTCGGAACAACTAGAACAAAAAACAAACAAATCAACAACAACCAACACACGGGTGCGGCTCTGAAAAAATGGCGTCGGAAAGCTGGGCGCGGTTCGAGAAAAAAAAGAGTTGTATCAGGAAAACAATTGCTGCGCTGAGCAACTGGATCAGGAAACTTGGCGCTGCTCGAAAAACTGGAACGGAAAACGTGCATCGTGTAATCGGGCGCTGCTCTGAAAAACTGGATCAGTACATCTGGCGCTGCTCGGACAACTGGATCATGACACTGGGCGTTGCTCGGAAAACGTCAATCATGAAAGTTGGGGTTGAGGCCCGTCGTCGCCGCCGCGTCGTCGCCCGCAGCAATTTCGGAGCAAATGACACCAAAAAAGGAGTCACAGGAGCCGCCCTCGCGAGTCGTTCAGGCACTGATCGCAGCGGTGACATCCTCCGCGCTGATCCCATATCGCGAGGAGTTGAACGGCGCCCGCGACACGGACAAGCTTCAGAAGCACGTGAATATCATCAATGCCGTGTATAAGGTGATTGGGCATCGGGCACTCTGGCATTTCTGCATTCCCCTCGACCCCTCCCCCATCGCCACCCTCTGAGAATGGGGCGGTGAAGATAAGGGGAGGGGAGGGCTCAACGGCCCAATGGGAGCTCAACGGGGCACGCGTTGACCCATTGAGCTCGCGCCCAAGCTTCAGAAACACGTGAATATCATCAATGCCGTGTATAAGGTGATTGGGCATCGGGCACTCTGGCATTTCTGCGTTCCCCTCGACCCTTGCCCCATCGCCACCCTCTGAGAATTAGACAGTGAAGATAGGGGGAGGGGAGGGCTCAACGGCTCAATGGGAGCTCAACGGGGCATGCGTTGATCCATTGAGCTCTCGCTCCTCCCCGGAAGGCGGAGATCAGGGGCTCAATGGATCAACGCCGTAGCTGTTGAGCACCCGTTGAGCTGTTGAGCCCGTCTGCGTGGCAAGGTGGATTTGCATTTACGGTGGCGGGCCAGGGGAGAGAGGAGTAGTACTCATATTGTGTAATCCCGCCAGCCCTTTGCTCTCTCTGTTCTCAACCCCCCTTCTTCCCATTCGGGGAGGGGGTTACCCCTCCCCCTGCCCCCTCCCCCTGGACCTCGAGAGGTCCTTTCGCGGGTGGTTGGAGGGTCCTTTTTCGACTCTTGGGAGGGCTAAAAAACGACACCCCTCACGAGGATTCTGGCCCCGACGGGGGGACTGACAAAAATGTTTGCCCCAGCTGTGATCGATCGCCCGAAAGATGGCCCCAATATGCCTCCAAGAGGCCCCCAAGATGCCCCCAAGAGGCCCCCAAGAGGCCCCAAGAGGCTCCTCCGAGGCACCCAAGACGCTCCTGGAAGCCACTGGGGCCGCCAAGAGGCCCCCAAGACGCCCCAAACGGCCTCCGAGAGAGGCCCGAAGAGGTTCCCCCAAGGCACCCAAGACGCTCCTAGAAGCCCCTGGGGCCGCCACACCAGGACGAGGCGCCCGAACGACTCGCACCACGAGGAGCCCGAACGACTCACACCACGACGAGGGCCCCGAACGACTCACACCACGAGGAGCCCGAACGAGTCACACCAGGAGGAGGGGCCCGAACGACTCACACCAGGACGAGGGGCCCGAACAACTCACACCACGAGAAGCCCGAACGACTCACACCAGGACGAAGAGCCCGAACGACTCACACCACGAAGAGCCCGAACGACTCACACCAGGAAGAAGGGCCCGAACGACTCACACCAGGACGAGAAACCCCAAACGACTCAAACCACGAGGAGCGCTTTCTCTCCCTCCTCCTCCGCCTCGCCCTTCTCCCGCCCCCACCACAAGGAGGATGTGCAAGGAGGCGGGGGGAAGGAGGAACAGGGGAGATATGCGGGGGCAGGCGGAAACACGCCTGAAAAACACGGCTGTCGGCATGCTTCGCAAGAGTTGTTGTTTTGAGACGGGCTGGTGGGGATGCGCGAAGCGTGAAGAATTGCAGAGGGGGTACGAGAGAGAGAGAGAGAGAGAGAGAGAGAGAGAGAGAATGCCAGAGAGAGAGAGAGAGAAAGAGGGAGAGGGAGAGGGAGAGGGAGAGGGAGAGGGAGAGGGATAGAGAGAGAGAGAGAGAGAGAGAGAGAGAGAGAGAGACCGAGAGACAGAGAGACAGAGAGAGAGGGGGGCAGTTTTGTTGTTATCGTTGCACCGTACTCGAGCCCAGGTGAAAGAGAAACCGCTGGAGTTGGCGTTCAGGGCGGTGGCGGCCCATAACGAGACGCAGTGGGCATTGGGGCCTGAAGCTACCAGCTGGAGTTCGAAAATGTCACGACGGGCCAGAGCGATGAGACGAGATGTAGATCAAGCTTTGCTGAAAGCTAAGGACGGCCCGAAACCAAGCTGGCTGGTGAACTTCACTGAGGTATCGCTCCTGGACTCCGATGGGCCCGAGCAGACGGCAGCAGCGCCCGACGCTGCATCAGGCGCAGGTCCAGCGGTGAACGCCAGCGACTACAGGTGCAAGCTGAACAGGGATGAGCAGGTCGTCTACCGCGTCGCCATCGGCTCGACGAAGCCTTGCGCTAGGGAGGCCAGCAAGCCGCTCAAGATGGACGAGAGCAAGGACGCAGATGACAGTGTCATCGCGTGCTGGAATGACGGCATGCAGTGGGAGGTGCCGAATCTGACGTACGGCATGCTCGCCACTTGGGCCGCGAACGAGGCTAGCCATAGGCCCGTGCACTACACGGTCGAGACCAAAGAGGGCAGTTCGTGGAAGTTGTTCGAGTACCAGGACGGGCGAGACGGCTCGAGCCTCAAGCTCAAAGGCAAGAACGCGCCACCGTTCCAGCTGATCATCACCAGGCACAGCAGCGACGAGAAGGCTGCGGCGATAAAGGGCATGACGGCGATTATCAAGCAGATGGCAAAGGGCAATATGACAAAAGAGCAGGCCGAGAGGGCCAAGGCGCCGTTCGTCAAGGCAGCGCCGAAGGCAAAGGCAAAGGCAAAGGCAGTCCTGAGGAGGCCGTCAATGGCGGAGGAACCTGCCGCTGCCAGCGTCTCTGGTGCAGCAGACGCGGCAGATGACGATGCCGCAGAAGAGGAGGAAGAGGAGGAAGAGGAGGAAGAGGAGGAAGATGACGCAGAGGAAGAGGAGGAAGAGGACGCAGAGGAAGAGGAGGAAGAGGAGGGCGATGACATGGACGGCGCTGCGAAAGCGAACAGGAAGAGGCCAGCAGCAGCGACTGGAATCGACGGTGCCGACGATTTCGGGCCGAAAGCGAAGAGGCCAGCAGCAGCCGCTCGAGCTGACGGTGGCGATGGCGAGGGAGAGCCCCCATGCAGCAAGAAGCCAGCAGGAGCGACTGCAGATGATGATGAGGGCGAGGGAGAGCCCCCATGCAGCAAGAAGCCAGACGGATCGACAGCAGAAGATGATGATGACGAGGGCGAGGAAGAGCCCCAGTGCAGCAAGAAGCCAGCAGGAGCGACTGCAGAAGATGATGATGACGACGAGGAGGAGGCCCCATGCAGCAAGAAGCCAGCAGGAGCAACTGCAGAAGATGGCGATGGCGAGGAGGAGGAGGAGGCCCCGTGCAGCAAAAAGCCATCGGCAGCCCCTGCAGCAGTGAAGTCGCCAGAAAGAGCACCAGAAGGCGCCGCCAGCGCCCCAGCAGCAGCGCCACCAGCAGCGGCGCAGGACACGCGTTGAAAAATGTCTTACGGAGAAAAGGTGCAGGGGGGAGGAGGAGGGGAATATCGGAGGAATGCGTAGGGGGAGGGGGAGTCCGGGTGCGGAGGGCGGGGGCTCAAGGGCTCAACGGCTGCATGGGGGCTCAACGGGGCGCGCGTTGATCCAGCGAGCTCTCACTTCGCCTCGGAGTGGCGGAGAGCAGGGGCTCAATGGATCAACGCCGCCATCGTTGAGCACCCATTGAGCCGTTGAGCCGTTGAGCCCGTATGCCAGGTAAGCTGGATTTGCGCCCCCGCCAGGATGGGGACTTCATGGACGAGGGCCCGCCCGGTGGCTTCATGATGAACGAGGCCCCTCCCATCTCATTCAATTCCTCCTCCTCCTCCTACTTTTCCTCCTCCTTCTCCTCCTCCCTCCTTCTATCCCTCCTCCCCTCTCCCCTCCCTCTCCCCTCCCCCTCCTCCTTCTCCTCCTCCCCCTCCTCCTCCTCCTCCTCCTCCTCCCTCCTTCTCTCCCTCTTCCTTCTTCCCCTCTCAGTCCTACTCATCATCTTTCCTTCTCCTTTCCCTCCTCCTCCCCCCCCTCTCCATCCGCTTCCTCCTCCTCCTCCTCCTCCGCCCCTCCTCCCCCCCCTCCTCGTCGAGGCCCAGGTGACGAGCAGCCCGATCAGCATCATGCTGGGTTTCACCAATGGCAGCTTTGGGTGATCCAGGCTCTGGGGGGCGGAGGTCGAATGAGGCTGGGGGGGCGAGGAAACAACGAGGCGGGATGTAAAACGGAGATGGGAGGGATGGAGGGAGGGAGGGAGGGCACGGATGGACGGGAGGAACGGGTAGAGAGGGAGGGAAGGAGGAGGGTAGAGGGCAGGGGGGAGGGAAGGTGGGGGAGGATTGGAGGGAAGGGAGGGAAGGGAGGCAGGGTAGGAGGGGGGAAGGGAGGAGGGAGGGGGGGGGAGGGGGGCTTCTGAACCCCAGACAGGCTCGCCACGGCCGCGGGCGCCGCGGCGCCGTCTGGAGCGACGAGGGCTGGAGGCGGTGTCCAAAGAGTCCTCCTCCCCCTCCTCCTCCTCCTCCTCCTCCTCCTCCTCCTCCTCCTCCTCCTTCTCTTCCTCCTCCTCCTCCTTCTCCTCATCCTCCCTACCCTCCTCCTCCATTGCCTCCCCCTCGTCCTCCTCGTCCTCCTCCTCCTCCTCCTCCTCCTCCTCCTCCCTATCCTCTTCCATTGCCCACCCCTCGTCCTCCTCCCTTTCCTGCACGTATTTTAACCATTATCTACTCCTCCCTACCATCGTTCAACCATTGCCCACTCCTCTACTCCACAGTAGAAGTTTTAGACCCTCCCAGACCATCCATGAAAGGGCCGCCCTTTGCCCAGACCCCCCCGAACCCTTCGAGACAGCTCAAATCAGACCCCCCCCGAAATGAGAACCCCCTTCCTTTTATTGCGAGGTCTGGAGTACCGTCCTCCGCAACAGCAAGGGCCCCCCACGAGGGCGCGAAGATATTCGCGCTTCGCGGTTCGCGGCCCTCATTCTCTCCCCCATGGGGGGGGGGGGGGCGGCGCGAGAGAGCGAAGTTATTCGCGCTTCGCGCAGCGCGAAGCGCGAAGTTTGGAGCCACGGCAACAGCAACCATGCCACGCTGGCCGAAGCACTTTGGCCCATGCCGACAAAGCTGCAAGGGGTGCCCGTCCCGAAACGGGCGTGGTACACACCGCTCGGCCGCGCGTTCCGTCGCTCGGGAATGGCTGGTACGGCCGCGGCCCCGCCCGTCTCTTGTGCGACGGTTGCGGCCTCGTCGGATGCGGATCGCCAGGCAACTGAAAATCTTCGCCCCCACCCCCCCCACCCCTGGGGTCAGGATCCTGGCAGATCGGGGGTCGACATGGGGGCAGCGCAATGTTTCGCCCGCCTCCCAGGACAGCGGCGACGAGAGCAGCAGCGCCTGCGAGCCGTCCTGCGAGGTGCTGCGGGCCCACCCAGAGGACGCGGACGGCGTCCTCCAGGCTCGCCGTGCCCGCCGCCGCCGCCGCGCCGAGCCGCCGTCGTCGGCGACTGAGTCCGCGGAGGAGGACGAGCCCGCCGCCAAGGCCGAGGCAAACGCCGAGGCCGACGGCGACGCGGGCGCCACGGGTTCGGCAGGCGCGAGCCGCGCCGAGGCTGGCGCCGAGGCTGGCGCCAAGGCTGGCGCCGAGGCTGGCGCCGAGGCCGGCGCCGAGGCTGGCGCCGAGGCTGGCGCCAGGGCTGGCGCGAGGGCGGGCGCGGAGGTCGCCGCGTCGGAGAGGACCGACGAGACGGCGGTCGCCTGGCGCATGATGGGCTTGCCTGGCGAGCCGCCCCGCCATATTCCCGACAGCGACTACGTGGCCATGATGAAGGAGAAGTTCAAAAAGGAGGCGGCCGAGAGGGAGGCAGCCCAGGTGGCCCAGGTGCAGGCAGCCCAGGCGGAGGCAGCCGAGAACGAGGCGGCGGCGAAGGAGGCAGCCCAGAAGGAGGCAGCCGAGCAGGAGGCAGCCCAGGCGACGGCAGCCCAGGCGGAGGCAGGCAAGCAGGAGGCGGCGGCGAAGGAGGCAGCCCAGAGGGCAGCCGAGCAGGAGGCGGCGGCGAAGGAGGCAGCCCAGAGGGCAGCCGAGCAGGAGGCGGCGGCGAAGGATGCAGCCCAGAGGGCCGCCGCCCAGGCAGCGGAGCAGCCAGCGCAGGCTGCGCCCCAGCAGCAGCAGCAGCAGCAGCAGCAGCCGCAGGCTGTGCCCCAGCAGCAGCAGCAGCAGCAGCAGCAGCCGCAGGCTGTGCCCCAGCAGCAGCAGCAGCCACCGCAGGCTGTGCCCCAGCAGCATCAGCCCTTCGAATTTGGCATGGACTTCTCCGACTTCTTCAACACCAGCGGCGGCGACGATCTCGACAATAAGATAGCCTCGCAGGCGGCGAAGCTAGCAGCAGCTGTCGACGATGATGTGATGTGCAACGTGCTGGGCGAGATCTACAAGTCGCCTTCGTGGAGCTCCTACACGTCCACGGAGGCCGAGCTCGACGGGCAAGAGGTCGACCCCGACAACTGCACCATTGACGCCGACATGAAGGACGCAGAGTTTTGGGAGAGCGTGCGAGCCAAGAACTGGATGTTCAACGCGAGGGGCGCCGCGGGCAATGCCGCAGGTGGGGCGGAGCGAGAACGACGGGGATGGGAGGGGTGAGGGCGAGGAAGATGAGGAGGATGAGGGGGATGAGGGGGATGAGGGGGATGAGGAGGATGGAGGAGGGGGATGAGGAGGATGCGGATGATGAGGAGGATGAGGAGGTCGAGTCAGCAAAACCAATATGACACCACAGGTGGCCGCTGGCAACGGCACATCACGGGGAAGGGCGCTCAGAGCAAGGCCGACAAGAAGGAGTACGACAAGCTGAGCGGCAACCAGGACGCCCAGGCAAAGTTCAGGGCGCAGTGGCTCAAGAGCACCTTCAAGCATAAGATGCAGGAGAGGGTCCACACGAAGCAGTTCCGCAAGCGCGTCTACAAGGACGGCAGGTACCTGACAGCCAACAGGATCATCGTGGAGGAGGGCGGCGGCAAGCGCGGCTCCAGGAGCTGCGCCAACTACTGCCTCAAGTGTTTGGCCATCGGCGCGCCATTCGTCAGCGGGCGCGAATCCTTGCCACCGTCCACCCTCCCCCCCCGAACGGGGGGAGTGATGTGGCAGTGCCTTCTGCTCTCCCCCGTCCTCCCTCTCCTCCTTCTCCTTCTCCTCCTCCTCCTCCTCCTCCTCCTTCTCTTCCTCCTCCCCCTCCCCCCCCGCCCCCCCCCTTCTCCTCCTTGGCCCGCCCGTGGGGGCCCAAGAGGGTAGTAGTGATGCGCTTCTCTTTCAGGTCAAATATTGCAGCTGGCGCAAAGACCTCGTCGTCTTGTATTTCATCGAGGGCGTGGAGGGGGATTTCACGGAGGTCTGGGCGTTGACGAAGAAGTTCTTCGAACAGGCTGAGGGCCCCGCGCAGACCCGCGCGGCCGCGAGCAACCAGGAGAGCGACGCCGCGACGATCGATCTCTTTGACACCGCGCGCCAGCAGGGCAAGGCGGAGGATGAGGCGGCGCTGAAGCACGAGGAGGGGCGCCAGGCAACGGAGCAGGCGGCGCAGAGGCGTGAGGCAGAGGAGCAGGCGGCGCGGGAGGCGTCCAAGCGAACTGGCGCTGAGGACGCTAGCTCTGGCCCCCGCTCGAAGCGTGTGAAGAAGAGCGACGGCGGGGCAGGAGGTGCCCCTGGGGAGGAGCCTGCAGCCGCGCCAGGA